CGTAAAAAAAAACATGTTAACCGTACAAAAAAATATAGCGTAGCAGTCGCCGAGAAAATCAACCCCGGAACGGTGGCCTGAAAAGCCGTCGGAACGGTCGTCGAAATCGGAGTAGTAGCCGGAACGGTTGTCAGAAAGTTCGACGGAGTATGGCGGTGACCGAAACGGTCGTCGGAGCGGTAGGGGTGGTAAATGTGGGATGGGTTAATTATATTATATTATAATTAAATATTTAATAATAAATTAATTTAATAATTTATTATTTCATAAATAAAAATTTAAATTTTTTTTAATAAAAATCTGATTTTGGAAATTTCAAACTTGTTTTCTTATTTTTGAAATAGGCTAAACTTATTCTCTTAAATAGGTAATCTTCCCTTAGTTTTAAGTTTATGAAAATCAAGTTTAACATTTTTTAATCAAAAATCAGGTTTTATCATTTTTAATTAATAATGATATTATAAAATTAAAATAATCTATATACCCACCCTACTACCTACTCCCACAAAATTTATTTTAAATATAAAACCCTAACTCTATCCAAACATAACCCAATCCATTTCATGTTCTCTCATCTCAATTTTTCTCCCAACTGGTCGTCGCCTCCACCCCCTTTCTCCCTCTCCCTCACTCTGCTGCGAATCGCAGCAGCATTCCCCTTCCCACTCCTCTGTTGTAACTCTTTCTATCTCGTTCCCTCTCTCTGTTCTTTCTCTTAATTTTTCTTATCAACTGTAGCACGATGTTGTTTGTGTGTTGGTGGGTTGTGAATCTTCATGGTGGTGCAATAGCATTGGTGCTGTGTGGTGTTGATATGTGTTTGTGTGGTGGTGGGTTGCAGATTTGCATGGAGATAGTGCTATGGTGGAGGTGGAGGTTGAGGTTGAGGTACGACTGTGGTGGTGGAGCTGCATTTTTTGTTGTGAGGTGGAGGTGGCGATGGCATAATTATTTTGGCGGTGGTCGTATTGGCAGTGGTGGTTCTATGGATCTAATATTTTTGGTGGTGGTTGGGATGTTGGCTGTGGTAGTGGCGGCGATCGTAGGTTTGATTTTTTTCAATCTGCGACCTATAAAAAATTTTGGTCGTTCTGTGACATGTGATCAAGTATTGTTAGTGTATTGGGATTGGGGGACGGGTGCGGCGGATGGGTCGAAGTGTCTGTGACCATCTATTTGGTTGATCTGTAACCTATGACAAAGTATTGGTGATGTACTAGGATGGGGGGAAGGGTGTTTGGGTAACTGTGACCTATCTATAGGTTAACTGTGACCTTAAAATTTGTTAATCTGTGACCTTAAAATATAACATGTGGCCTATAATTTTTTTATCAGTGACCTATGAAGTCATCCATGACCAAACTGCATATAACTGTGACCTTAATAAAATAATATTTTTCATCACATCAATAATTTTTCCTCACTTTTTAATCACATGTTTCACATCATATCACTATTTAAAATACATTTTTTTCTCTATAATATCCATCAAACACACTCACATATACAAGATGTGTGTCAATCAACTGATTAACAACATCAACTGAAGTAGTTTTGCCTGAGTTGCTCGTCTCTGGTTTGTTGCTGTTCTTCTCCGGTTTGCTTGCGGGGTGCTGGTGAATATTAGTATCGTAACAGTATTCGAACTTGGAGGAATCAGACTGGAAGTTTCGATCTTGGATTTAATCCCCCTGTTTTACTAGACTAATAGTATTTGTAGTCGCTCAATGTCGTAGTCGTCCTACGTGACACATGTGGCGGTTATTGATTTAATGTATGAGTCAATAAAAAATTACCATATTAATGTATCAAATCATTAACCGTCACATGTATGCCACGTGTCACCCCTCGATTCCGAGGTCTAAAGAGGCTAAGCCACGTGTCACGCCACGCGGCATAACGGTCAACAAATGGTCAAAAGTAAGGCCAATAGGTCAGAAGTCCCAGTTAAGAAATAGGCCGAGGTCCTTAACCCAGCATCCGAAACTGTCATAGTAACAAGCCTCAGCCTGAAGCACCTCCTCAAAGACAAGGCACAACCCAATCCGAGGTTCTTTCAAGCTCGTCCGAAACTCATGAAATCAACGCTGTCTCACACTAGATTCGAAGATCTTTCTGAATTGATTGATGTGACGTCTGCAGTAAAGTGTCTGTAATTTTAATCATTGTCAGCCTACTACTAGAACGGCTGACCTTTAGTCAAAACATTAAATGTAATGAGTGGACAGTGATGTGAAGCTTCGGATCAGGGGATGTCGCCACGTGGACTTGATCCAACGATCACCACGTTGCGTTGTGACTTGTGACCTGGCATGTGACTTGTGACCTGGTCTGTGACTTGTGACTTAGGCTGTGACTCTTGACTTGTGACTTGTGACATGGGACTTGTGACCTGGGTTGTGACCGTAAAAAAAAAACATGTTAACCGTACAAAAAAATATAGCGGAGCAGTCGCCGAAAAAATCAACCCCGGAACGATGGCCTGAAAAGTCGTCGGAACGGTCGCCGAAATTGGAGTAGTCGCCGGAACGGTTGTCAGAAAGTTCGACGGAGTAAGACGGTGACCGGAACGGTCGTCACTGCGCCCCTGTTTGATACACATTCTTTCAAAATATATTTTTTCAAAACTCATTTTCAACCACACGTTTCTTAAGAAAATAATATTTTTCATCACATCAATAATTTTTCCTCACTTTTTAATCGCATGTTTCACATCATATCACTATTTAAAATACATTTTTTTCTCTATAATATCCATCAAACACACTCGCATATACAAGATATGTGTCAATCACCTAGACTTCACATTCTCGACTATGTCACTCCTTATTGAAAAGAATTTAACTTGTACAAGAAAACGTAAAGCACAGTCACGAAACAGTCAGCACGAACCTCCTTAATTTTTTTTTTAAAGAAAAAAATTATAATCTCTTTTGATTGTTCAGACGAAGAGGGGGATAAAAACTTTTTAGTCAAAAAGGGTCAAATGGACTCATTCTTTGGTTATCAAAAGGATGTTTTAGTCATATTACAGTCTCATTTTGAAAATTTTATAAGGTAATTATATTCACACTACCATTTTTATTGCTTACGCCATATTTTATTTTCATTTAAGGTTCTTAATCTTTGTTCATTATAACATATGTTCCTAACGACTTTTCATATCATTTTTATCCTCAAACTTTTTATTAGTTAACACATTTTATATTTGATAACAAATTTATGTACAAAAGTCCGTTAAATAACGTAAAACAACTTGTTTTTCATCATATTAAAAAAAAATTAAAAGTATTTTTCTCTCCTTTCAAAGCATGAAAACAAAATATTTTGATATAAATTATCTTTAAAGACGGGTATGTACCAATTAATGAAAGGTTGAAGGTAAGAATTCGATGGAAAAAAGTTTAGGAAATAATTACTATAATAAGCAAAGATTGAGAAGTTTAATTGCAGTTAAAGTACAGTGTGTCAAATAGAAAATGTGGCAATAATATAATTAACCATACTACAATGCACTTTGCAGGTTGAGGTCGGGATGGGGTGGCCGGGGCCCAAATGAAAAACTCAGAAACAAACTGGCAATACCGCAAACCATCTGAAAAAAATTAAAACAAAAAAATAAAAGGCTGCAACGCTCACTATTTTTCTCCTGCTCCACAATTAACTTTACCAACTCCTTCTTAATTCATCATCCCACATCCATTTTCTCAAGATTTATACTTGTCGAAGTGTATGTACAGGTACAATTTTAATTTCTATGTACTTGCATAATGTATGTGCATAGTTCCAGATGAGAACTTCAGAAAGTTATGATTTTTGAAGGGGTTATAGAAGAATCATGGTAATCAGAATTAAGTTTGTATTTGTTGAAATCATCAATTAAGATAGGAAAGAAACTGTGATGACAGAACTTTAATATAACTGAGAAGGAGTCGAGTAATTGGAGATTTCCATTGATGAAAAAGCTTCACAACACTAAGTGTAATACAATTGATTATATCATCAATTAAAATAGGAAAAGAAGCTGTGATGATAGAACTTTAACATAATCGAGAAGAAGAAGAAGTCGAGCAATTGGAGAATTCCATTGATGAAAGGAAAACTTCTCTACACTAAGTGTAATACAATTGGTGATTTATAGACAACTGAGCTAACCTACTAACTGCCTAACAACCTGAGGCTAACAGAATTATCTATCCAACTAATTAACAACATCAACTGAAGTAGTTTTGCCTGAGTTGCTCGTCTCTGGTTTGTTGCTGTTCTTCTCCGGTTTGCCAGCTGGGTGCTGGTGAATATCAGTATCGTAACAGTATTCGAACTTGGAAGAATCAGACTGGAAGTTTCAATCTTGGATTTAATCCCCCTCTTTTACTAGACTAATAGTATTTGTAGTCGCTCAATGTCGTAGTCGTCCTACGTGACACATGTGATGGTTATTGATTTAATGTATGAATCAATAAAAAATTATCACATTAATGTATCAAATCATTAACCGTCACATGTATGCCACGTGTCACCCCTCGATTCCGAGGTCTAAAGAGGCTAAGCCACGTGTCACGCCACGCGGCATAACGGTCAACAAATGGTCAAAAGTAAGGCCAATAGGTTAGAAGTCCCAGTGAAGAAATAGGCCGAGGTCCTTAACCCAGCATCCGAAGCTGTCATAGTAACAAGCCTCAGCCTGAAGCACCTCCTCAAAGACAAGGCACAACCCAATCCGAGGTTCTTTCAAGCTCGTCCGAAGCTCATGAAATCGACGCTGTCTCACACTAGATTCGAAGATCTTTCTGAATTGATTGATGTGACGTCTGCAGTAAAGTGTCTGTAATTTTAATTATTGTCAGCCTACTACTAGAACGGCTGACCTTTAGTCAAAACATTAAATGTAATGAGTGGACAGTGATGTGAAACTTCGGATCAGGGGATGTCGCCACAACCTGAACTAGGTTGCTAGTGGTGCTCGGCTAGAATAGTATAATAGTCACTCTCTATATAGAGAAATTGGGGGATTGATGCAAAGAATAGACAAACACATGCTTATACAAACACTTGAACTCTTATTGAAAAGAAGAGAACTCATCATATCTATTATTCCACATATTTTATTATCATTTTGTTTAAAAGAGATCATTGATAGTGTGATTGTCCTAAAATCATATCGTCGGAACCTCAACATCTTTGTTTCTCGCTGGAAAGTGTCTCCCACGTTCACTATAGTTGGATTACCGTTCTTATTCCAGTAAAAACATTCTGGATCCATACTTGACGTGACGAGAGTAGACCCGGTATCAGTTAAGTTCATTTTTTGGGGTGAACACCACGTAAGACGACTACGATGGTGAGCGATTGCAAATAACATTACTATTTTTGCTATACTGATTTTATGAATGATTGAATCTCATTTTGTGAAGGATGACTTGTGGAATTGGAGGCATGCATGGAGCAAAAAGCCTTATGTGAAAAAAAGTTCTTTTTTCGGGTTCTTTGAGGAAATAATTTGGTATTTCGTGATTGGATTTTTGGGGCCTTTGATTCTTGTATTTTGTGACGAGATATCGCCGTTTCAGTTCGGCAATCTGTTGTGCGTTACACGCCAAGTTTTCTTGCATTCTGGGGTGAATCCATTTAAAAATACTTTAAAAAATCCTGAAAACTTCTCTTTTTTTTTTTCCTCCCTAAATTATGGGTTTATGCTAAAAACCTTAGAATTCTTGATTCTTGTCAAAATGGTTCTTGGCAATAGCCCGCAACTATTTTTAATTGTTGTAAAGAGAGCAGAAGACAGTTAGGTGGGTGAACGCTGAGGCTGAGCCAGCACGAGCCACGGCAGAGCCCATGTTGGTTCTATCAAAAAAGAAAAAGAAAAAAACCCATATATTGGGATTTTGCTCAAGTAGCTGTCAAGTGGCCGCGCGCATAGGAATGGCAAAAAAAATTGTTCAACCTGATACCAACCTAATCGGGTAAACGAGACGGAGGTCATTGCTCCGAAACGGGTGCGGGGCGGGTATGGAAAACATAATCCCCATCACGATATCCATCTCGTTTAAAGTTAATTTCAAATTTAAGTTTTTTTATCAAACAAAAATAAAATATTTATTATTTGTTAAAAAAACATGAGTTGTTCTTAACAAATTGAAAAAAAATAATAATGATCAAACATAAAAAAATAAAAATAAAATAAATAAACAGAGTGATAAATACTACAGGAGACCCACCCCATCCCACATTAACAGGGTATGGGAACGAGACAAGGTGACAAAAATACTTAACGAGGCGGGCTGAGAATGGGAAACTCGTCCCATACCGCATTGCCATCCATATGCGTCCTCACCTGGATCCACCCTAACTCACTTGAATTCCTAAATTCACCACTGGGTAGACATATGATTGATGAGAATCATGAGATAATTTAACATTAATAAATGTGGAAGATGTCAATGTCCTATAACAATGGTTGCGCTACAATGGCCTCTGCAGAGAGTATGGATAATAGGAAATATGTGAGATACACGCCGGAGCAGTTACCCTTGAGAGGCTCTATCATGAGTGTCCTAAGACTCATTCGACAGGGTTTTTACTTTAACTTCTACTTCTTGTAGAGAATTTTATGAGAAAATTATCTTAATTAATATTTGAAAATTAATGTTTAAAAGAGCTTTAAAAGCTCATTTTAACTTTTTAGAAGCTTTGTAAATGATTTTCATCTAAAATGTAATATGTAAAAATTTGAAATCTTACATCAATAATTTTACATAAATAATTTTTTTATTATTCAAAATTTACGATTGACATAAAAATAACAAACCATTGTAGGTCTCTCACGGTATCTCTTTCTCAATCAAGCCTTCAACGCTACAAAAAACATGTAACAATTCCCAAAACATCTTAACTACTAAAAATGATTCTATTTTGACACAAAATTTCAAGATATATTAGGATTGAACTTCGTGTAACATGACTCGCCCAATAACTATTTATGAAAATTATGCACTTCAACTAATTGAAACTCCGAACCCAATAACTTCATGCAGCGTATGTTCCATTGTCGTTAATCATTTATAAAATTTCACGTTTCGAATAATTGAAGCCGCTTATGCATTTTGCCTTCTCAAATCATTATAGAACCTCTTTATGAACTCCTCAGCAGCTTCATCTACATGATTATCGGCATCAGCATCCCTCAAGGGAAATGGAGAATCTGTTATCCTCAGCTGCCTAACCATCCCGCTCTTTCCAAATCCTGGCAAAGCCGGTGACGCTGCCGCACTATTAAGCATCTCCAGCGTCCTCACCGCCGCATTCATAGTGGCATAATCCTCCTCCATCGCTGCCGGCGAGAAGGGGGCGCGGTGGTGGTTGTGTTTACGTTTGTTGAGGTGGAAAGGAAGATGGATATTAGGGTAAGCCGGGCTGTTACTGCAGCTAAACTCATATTCAATTGGTGAGTCAAGTGGTGAGCCGCGGTGGCCGGTGGTGGACCTGTGGTGGCTGTGGTGGAACATGAGATTTTGAATGGCTTTCCCAGCTATCTTCCAGCGTTTGAAAATGATGTTGAGTTCAGCCATTAATTTTCCTTTCGGTATGCCTTTCCTTAACATGTACAACATAGTACGTACTATGTTCCAAACTTTTTTTGTAATGACTGGTAGATTTTGCTCCATTACTGTAAATTTTAAGGTTTTGGTCTTGGAGAAGAAAAATGTTTGATAAACTGATTTGTAGAGAGAGGGGGAGGGGTTTTTTATGTTTATAGAGAGAGAAAAGGAGAATGATTTCAATTGAATTGGAGGTTGCACATAGAGGTGGTATATATAGGGTCCAAGAAAAAAGATCGAGTGTGTATGATATTAAGCTACTGTTATGTTGGTATTTATAGGGTCCAAGAAAAATGTTCGAGTGTGTATGATATTAAGCTACTGTTTTGTAAGTAAAAATTAATAATTAATTTTATTCATATATTTTGTGGGCCTCAACTTTTCAACCACACATTTAATCAATTTTTATCAAAATCTACTCTCGATTAATCATATTTTATATAAATTGGGGACGAAAGTGCAAATTTTCCTTTTTCATATTTTAATTGCTCAATTATTGTATGGTCTGGAAATGATCAGAATAGTCCATATTTAATTTACAATTAATAGTTTGGTGATTTATTTATGTTTTCACTAGCATATTTCATTTTTATTAAACTACCGACTATACTCGTATCTCGAATTTGGAGATCTCGATTCTTAAACAATGAGAACTTCTAACTATAGGAAAATGAGTATTTATGCTCGTTATTGTTGATGTTCAACATCTTGATTATGTAAAGTTAATACTTGACATGACAAAATTCTGTTCAATTATAAGGGTGTGTTTGAGTCACATTATTTTATTAAAGAATATGCGGTTGAAAATGAGTAGAAAAATAAAAATGAAAATTTTAATGTGACTCCAAGTGAGGTTAAATGTTGTTATCCCCCTTTTAACGTCCTTTTGAAGTTACTTTGTTAAAACTTTTTGAAGTTGAAAATCGTGATTAAATTGACATCCAATGTACTAGAAGTAAATTAGGTTTTCAAAGCACCTTTTCTATTTGTAGTGCAGGTTGGTAGGGCTTTTGATATTCAAAGTTCAACTCGAGAACAACGTGAAATTTCTTCTTTTGATGTTTTAAATTGTCAAGGTTTCTTTAGTATTTTTTTTTCCCCCTAAGCAAGCACCTTATTATTTTATGATTCTTCCCTTTTTCTTTTTTTCGAATTATCATTTTATTTCAAATTTTAACACATGGTGAAATGTTATATTTGGCAAGATAGTGATGTCCTTCGACCGAAATTCTATTTTCGTCTCCTAACATTATATAATGTCCAACATAGCAGTATTAGGTAAGACCAGGGACGTAATTAAAATGAAATTTAAACAAGACCTAGATTGTTTTTGTTTTTTTAATTTTGGCATCTCAAAAAAAAAAACGAGGAAGAGTAGAGGTGCTACAAGAGTACGAGTCATGATATCCTATTGTTCTAGAATTATACACGGGATCATTTCATAGAATTTCTGTTTATGCTTCTATTTTCTTGTACAAGAATTTTCTAAAAAAAAGGTACCTTATGACAGCTTCTTTTAAAAGCTCATCTAACCTACAAAATACGTTTTAAAAATATCTTAATTCGTTTAAAAGAAGCTACTTACTGTCAAAAATAACTTCAAAAGTTCTGTCAAACAATCCCATACTTTACTTTCCTGGTCTGAAAAGAATAAATTTTTAAAACGAAGTGAGATGATAGGAAGGCAAGACTCCTAATGTGAAATCTTTGTTCATAAAATTCCCTTTGCTAGTAACGAAAAAACGAAAGTGCACTTCCACAAATGAGTTAAAGAAAGTTTAGATACAGTTCGATCCAATTCCAAAGTGGCCTAATTCCAAATAATAATAATAATAAATAAATTGTTGTGTTTTAGGGTTTAGAATGTGTGGAAATGATTGTGTTGGCCATTTTTCTCACCACCAATAAATATCAAATGTGTGTTGTACGTTACTTTCATTTCCCTGCCGTTGGACCAACCAAATAATTTAAGTTTCCTTTACTTAGCAAGGGAGGTTTCCTCTACACATGTCACTTGTGCCAAATAAACAAAAATCTTATAACCAAACAAATCAGCCTAATTGTCGAGTAAAGTCAATTATGTGTGCGAGAGAGAGAGAGAGAGAGAGAGAGAGAGAGAGAGAGAGAGAGAGAGAGTATTTTGACAATAAAAAAAGGTAAATATACAATAAAACCAAATTCTTGATTTTTTTTTTTTTTTTGTTATACAATATAATTTTCATATCCAAGGAGGAGTATTATTTGGGGGAAGTCGTAAAAGAAAGGAGTAAGATGGAGGAAAGGAACGTTGGACGAATTAGGGTATTTCATGATCTGTAGTAGCCAGCTTGTTCCAAGATTTTCATACTGCTTATCATGAATGAAATGAATCAATCGATGAAAATAGTGATTAGGGTACTCGCGATAAACCGTTACCTATAGATTTTGAGATGATTATACCTATCGCATGTCAATAAACGTGTTGCCTCTTCACTCATTTAGTCAAAAATGGGTCAATTGTATTTTGAAGAATCCAAATGTCCTTGCGTTGCATGTTCTTGTCGATTTTTGAAAATAACAAATATAATTTTTCACGTGGATTATGCTAATCAAGTGGAAACAAAGGTGAAAATAATTTTCTTTTAATTATATTTTAATACTATTCCCTTTTATTATTTAATTACCTTTCCCCCCATTTGCATTTGTGTTAGTGCAAAAGGGATTGTAATACCGTGGTCCTAAAAGGGTTGTAATACCGTGGTCCGACCTTTTCCTTCGTTACATGTTCACAACTCTTGAACCTTTTTTGGGGATTCTAATTGCAAATTTTAAGCAAAAAAAAAGCAGTCAATAACTTTTTTTTTCCAACCAAATACGACTTATTCAAAAGTAGCTTAATTCTGGTTTTCAAATGCTTGACAGCATGCATGAACCCTACATTGGACATATATAATTTATGAAGAAAGATGCATTAAAAGAATGTTATAAGTAACCAGATTTTAACTTATTTTTTTATTTATTATTGTACTAATGATATCCATTATTCCTCGTTTCAATGAAACCGAGTTGCTTCGAAGTCCGATGTTATTCAAATTCTTAGTTATTTGCTCTCAAACTAGGGTACTTTCCTGCAACATTGAAAGTAAAAAAAAAAAAAACACACCGGTACGGAAAAAGGATTCCTCGATATTGGATAATCATTAAATCAAGTCGAATATTGTATGAAATGGATGGATTAATCGAATATGTAGTTAGAAGAACAATTTCAATAGCAGCATTCAAAATGCATGTATAAACTCAATTCATTATTTTGGGTAAGATATATAACCAACAAAAATGAGCGTTGGAATTTTTGAATAAAATCACAAGTGGTTTTTTTTTTTTTTTTTTTTTTTGAAAAATGCCTTTTTGTTTGATATTGCATTACTACTATAAAGTATTACAAGTAGGGATGGCAACAAGACGGGTATGAAATGAGTTGGCTATTCCTACTCTGTCTCGTCGAGTATTTTTGTCACTTTCACCTTTTCCTATACCCAGTTAAAGCAGGACGGGGCGGGGCCTTTGCACCATTTATCGCCCCGTTTATATTTTATTTATTTTACTTTTATTTTTTTATGTCTTTAATTAGTAAGTATATTTTTTTAAAATTTGTTAAGAACAATTTATATTCTCTTTAAAAATGATGGTAAATCTTTATTTTTGTTTGATAAAAAATTTAAATTTGAAATTAACATTAAACAGGGCGGGTAGCGATGCGGGGACTAGACTCTTATACCCGTCACGTACCCACTTCGGGGCAATGACACCAACTCCGTACCCGTCCGTTTATCCGGTTTGCCCCGACGAGTATCGAGTTGAATGAGTTTTTTTGTCATTCCTAATTATGCGGCCTATTTTACTAAACAAACTACGTGTACCATTAGTGTTCTCAATTTCAAAATATCTTAGAATCGAGGGAAAGTGAGAATGCTAATTAATTATAAGCAAAGCAAAGAAAGTGTTAACTTTGGACAGGCTTTTTCTTTTTCTTCATGTTTCATTTGTTGTGAACAGCTATGCGAAGCTCAGAATTGAGGAAAACCAGTGAAAAACTTGGTACAACGGCTACTTTATTGAACTACTTTCTCCAGTGTTGGTGGTGGGAAGTTTCGCAAAACCAATTTTAAATACAAGCTTATAACAAAAGAAATTTTAATTTTAATAAATTCAAGTGGACTATATGAATAGTAATTGCATCGATTTTTTTAATGTGAATAATTTTGTGTTGGTTTCGACTCGTCGTTACATTTAAATCAATTCACCTAGGAGAAAATTAAAACTTTTTATGTTCGATATCTCTTCCTTCTAACTTTTAGGATTTGTTCATCGCCTAATTTTATTTTATATGTTGTAAATTTATCATTTGAATGGCAATTAAAAAATGAAGTTTCATCAATTTATACATGATTTATAAATTTTGCTAAATGGAGATTTTGATAAATAAAAAAAGATTGATAATGTATATCTTGATAAATCGAATCATACAAAGCCATTTTTTTGATTAATATTTTAGTATTCAAATATACTAATAGTTTTTCATTTTAAAATAATTGTTATCCTAGTAATTTTTAAAAATTTAGAAATTGAATTTGATACTTGAAATTATTTTAGAAATTTGCTTCTTACTTAAGAAATTGTTGATTTTGGTATTTTATGTCTATTAGCACTAGAATAATAAATTCCTTCAATTAATAAATCATTGGTAGGATTTAATTTGATTAAAGTTATTTAATTTGATAGTAATCTTAAAAAAGGTAATTAACATATAACTTTCATACATTTTATTATTGTTGTAAAAAATGTTCATACCTTTCATTTTTAGCATTTTCACCATTAATTACACATTTAATTGTGTAAAATGTCATTTTTCATACAATTTTCCCCGTTAAGTAAAGGATATTCTTGTCATTTTTTCTCTTTCTTCTCCATTTGAACCCATTTTCTCCTCT